TGTTTATTTATTCTTTTTTTTTTTTTTAATTTTTTTAACGATTTATTTATTTCTAGGAGAGAGAGAGAGAGAGAGACAGCATGAGCAGGGGAGGGTCAGAGAGAGAGGGAGACACAGACTGAAACAGGCTCCAGGCTCTGAGCTGGCAGTCAGCACAGAGCCCGACGCAGGGCTTGAACCCACGAACCGTGAGATCATGACCTAAGTGAAAGTCGGACGCTTAACCGACTAAGCCACCCAGGCGCCCCTTATTGTTTATTTATTCTTGAGAAAGAGACAGAGCATGAGCAGAGAAGAGGCAGAGAGAGACTGAGACACAGAATCTGAAGCAGGCTTCAGACTCTGAGCTGTCAGCATAGAGCCTGATGTAGGACTTGAACCCAGAAACCCTGAGATCATGACGTGAGCAGAAGTCTGATGCCTAACTGACTGAGCCACCTGGGCACACCTAATACAGAACTTAAAGAATAATATTGTTAAGGTCTTTTTCATGTGCGCCATTTACAAATTCATTCATACAAGAATAATTTAAGTTTCCTGAGTAAAATGTGGACGGGAACAATCTTTTGATACCCAAAAGTTTTTGAGTCCTACGAAAAGGCAAAGAATACACCAAAGTGAAATACCAATACCTTGAAAAATTATTATAGAGCATTGTTAACATAAAAGCAGGCAGAACCACGTGTAGAGCCCCATGTATTTATTACCCAGCATCTGCAGTCTCCACCTCACGGTGAATCCTGTTTCCTCTGCTGCTCCCATCCGTCTTCCTATCCCAGGAGATAACCTTCTTTTTTTTTTTAATGTTTATTCATTTGTGAGAGACAGAGAGAGACAGAGCATGAGTTGGGGAGGGGCAGAGAGGGAGGGAGACACAGAATCAAAGCAGGCTCCCGCCTCTGAGCTGTCAGCACAGAGCCAGATGCAGGGCTCGAACCCACTGACCTCAAGACACGACCTGAACTGAAGTCAGACACTTAACTAACGGCCACCCCGGTGCCCCTAAAAGATAACCTTTGTAGCACATGTAACCACAACACTTTATAAATCTCAGGAAGTAATAGAAATCCCTGGGGTTGAAATGCCCAGTCAGTGCCATCATTTCTAGCTGCCTCACGAGCACCACAAGTTTGGAGTTTCCTTGTTTTAGTTTATTTCAATCAGGGTCCAAGTCAGGTCGCCCCCCGGTTGACTGCTTTGCCACCTCTCCGCTCCTCCTGTCACCAAGTCTGGGCTTGCCGAGGACGCCCCATCCCTGTGAACTGGTGGCATCTGCAGGCCCGACAGGGTTCTGGCTTGTGGCTTTGGGAAGCCCGCCTCCGGTGGTTATTCTGTCGAGACAGGTGCAGTTGGCTTGGCGTCCGTGTGGCACAGCCGCCCTGCACCGGCGGAGCGTCAGTCCGTGCCTCATCAGAAGCGGCAAACCTTGCCTGTCCTGGCGCCCAGGTAGACCGCGGGGCTCCTGAGGCCTATTTTGTACAGACCGGCAGAACGGTGCCCGTCGTTCCCCCTCCAGCCACGGTCGGGGCTGTGAGCACGCGCGTGTGTTCATAGCGCCTTGTGGCCCTTGTCCTTTCTGAAGCTCGCCCCGCGCCCCCGCCCCCCCCCAGTGGGTGGCCCCCAACACCGCCCTGGGAGTCTGGGGGGGGCCTGCTCTCCGGGCCGGGTGGGTCCTAGGCTCCTCCTGGCTTCCTGCCCCAGGCAGTGCCGCCCACCCCCCGCAGAGTCCAGGTGCCCTCGGTGTGGGAGGTGCCGTGACCAAGCGTAATGGAGGGTTTGTTGGTGGCGAACACGGTGCGAGTGTGATGACCCCGCTGTCTGGGACGTGCCCTCTCTTGCCCTCAGGCGGGGCTCCTCTTCCAGCAGCGCTTAGCTTCTCCCCTTCTCGGGCCCTTGGCCGCTTGTTGCCCCTCACTGGGACGCTGCGCCTTCGAGACGCTTCACGGCGGGACGGCTTCCTCCGCGCGGTCTGTCTGCAGCTTCGGCTCTCCGGGTGGTGCCAACAGTGGCAAACCTGGCTTCTCATATGGAGGCCCCTTCCGGGCGGGAGGCTTCAGCCGCCACGGGCTGCTGGGCAGCGGGACGCCTGCCCCTGCCTCCGTCCGGGCCTTCCGGGCGGCACCTTCTCAGGGTTCGCTTCCCGTTGCTGATCCCGCACCAGCTCAGTTTCTCTGTTCCCTTGTAGATGAGGCCTGTTTGCTGGAGAATTCATTGTTCAGTGGTCTGTTTTCTTTTTCTTTTTTTCTAATGTTTTTTATTTATTTCTGAGAGAGAGACAGAGCATGAGCAGGGGAGGGTCAGAGAGAGAGGGAGACACAGAATCCGAAGCAGCTCCAGGCTCCGAGCTGCCAGCACAGAGCCCGACTTGGTGAGATCAGGACCTGAGCCAAAGTCGCACACTTAACCAACTGAGCCCCCCAGGCGCCCCTGTTTCCTTTTTCAATAGTTTTTAAAAATCTGTCTTTGTAGAGGCAATATTTTAAGTTTTTATTTATTTTGAGAGGAAGTGAGCGCACACACATGCGAGCTAGGGAGGGGCGGGGTGGGGCTGGGGAGTCCCAGGCAGGCTTCACACTGTCAGCACAGAGCCTGACACAGGGCTCAATTCCACCAACCGTGAGATCATGACCTGAGCCAAAATCAAGAGTCAGACGTTCAACCGACTGAGCCACCCAGGTGCCCCAAAGAGGCAACATTTTATAAAATTTATCAAATTGTTTTTATGTCAAGCCACCCCCTCCCTCCTTTGCCTCACGCTGCCCGCAGCTTGCTGCTTCTGCCGCCAGGGCGTGGAGGCGCTCGCCAGGACGCCGGGCTGGGCCCTGTCGCGAGGGCGGCCGCGTGGGGTTTGCTCTGCTCCCGTAGGTCTCCTGACAGACACTCAGGATCTTCTTGTCCGTGGCTTTAACAGAAGAGGGGTGCGGTGACGCCCTCTGTGTGCTTTTGTGTGGATGTGGGTCGATGCATCAGGCTTTACTCCGGAAGTAGAATCCCTAGGCCTGGGCTTCCGCATTTTTCTTCCCTTCTCCTGCCCTCTCGCCCTGGCTGGAGCAGGAGTTGGTGAAGTGCAGGCCGGAATGGCTTGCTGCCTATCGTTACATGGCTAGTGAGCCAAGAATGTTTTTATACTTTTAAATGGTTAGAAAAAAGTCAGTAATATTTGAGATGCGAACATCGTGTTGGTTGACACGCCATCACCCACGAGCAGTGTCAGTGCCCCTGGCACGCTCGCTCACTCCTGCATCGTTTGTCTTCACGCCAGCACGCAGGGCTGGCACGGGCGGCGGGGTGGACAGCGCACCCTGGCCGCTCCTTGCACCGCAGGTCTCGGAAATGCAGGGCTGACTCGCCAGTGTCTCAGGAGCCCCGTGAGCCACTCGAGACACTCCTTATTGCCAGTTAGCACCCGTCACGTCGAGACGGGAAGAAGGGAAGGGTGGACTTCAGATGTTGCCCTATGGAGCCACAGTGAAGTGTGGATGGTTTTGCCCGTGTGAGCTGATCACGCCCTGAGGCGCCGCCGCACTGAGCTGAAGGAGTGGACTGTGTGCCGGACCCTGCGCTCCCAATGCACAGGAAAGAGACATCTGGAAAGACGTGAAAATATAAAATGGAAACCTCATCACAGAAATAAAACGTGGATATTAGGCCGCAAAGTAAGTTTCTGATTGGCTCATTAGTTAAGCCAAAGAAGGAAAGCGGCTTACTAATTAATTAATTAATTAGACCTTGTTTGATCGTAGCCACTGAGCCACGGCGCCCAGAGAAGGGGAGGTTGCTTCGGGAGGGAGTCTCTCGGGGGCCCACGAGAAAACGAGGCGGGCGGTTTTGAGTGGTCTTCCTTCACTTTGGTGTCCGGTCTTCTCAGTTGTTCATTTGGGGAGTTTGAAGTGACTGAAGAAATAACATCTCTGAA